CTCTCACTACTTACCCATTATCCAACTTAGCATTCATTTCAATCTTATTCTTTGATGTCAGATTGATAATGGTCTGATGACTCCAACCATGAAAATAAGAAGAGACAAGGTTGCTGAGCGTTACAAAGAATAGATTGCGAACCTTTACAAGTAAAAGGTTATATGGATGTTCTGCAATGGGAGATCTTTTACATAGTGTAGAAGTAAGCTGAATTATTTGATATGATTTGTGTCTAGTGAAATAAGTCCTTGTGCATCATTTAACATATAATGTTTCAGTGATAGCTAGTGTAATATCTTTCCTCGATAAATCGATAGAGACCTGGATTGGGATTGTAAGTGCATATTTGTAACAATAAAAGTAATGCAGACTTCATGAGATGCAATTTGTATACTAAATTAGCTATTGTCTATGTAAATAATTTATGTTACATAGTATTTTGGTGAATGTATTATTTGAATATAATTGTATTTGATATTGAAATATAATTACATTGAGTTGGATATGAACATGATTTGGTGTTGGATATTATATAGCGTGGAACGTAGATTCTGCACACACAAAAAAAAAACTATAGCGGAGTAACCTGGACGGAATTCTATCTAGGTTGCTACTGTAGCAACAATAGCAGTCTAGATGGATTTTCGTCTATGTTGCCAATCTAGACGGAAATCCGTCTAGGTTGCCAAACTAGACGGATTTCCGTCTAGGTTGCTACTGTAGCAACAATAGCAGCCTAGATGGATTTCCGTCTATGTTGCCAATCTAGACAGATTTCTTACTTCCGTCTAGGTTGATGTCCGTCTAGGTTTGCTACTGTAGCAACAATAGCAGCCTAGATGGATTTCCGTCTATGTTGCCAATCTAGACGGAAATCCGTCTAGGTTGCCAAACTAGACGGATTTCCGTCTAGGTAGCCAATCTAGACAGATTTCTTACTTCCGTCTAGGTTGATGTCCGTCTAGGTTGGTTAACCTATACAGAATTCCGTCTAGTTTGCCCTAACCTAGACGGAATCAGACTAGACGGAGCAAACTAGACGGAATTCCGTCTAGATGTACCAACCTAGACGGGAAATGGAGCAACCTAGATGGAAATTTCCGTCTAGGTTGCTCGTTTTTCTACTAGTGAACTTCTTGTAACATGTATACAATATGCCAAACATATATTAGATCAATATAAAAGTTTATATTCATCAAACCAAGTCAATTGCAAGGACACTGTCATACGTGATAGTGTCTGAGTAAAGGGTGAGCAAATATTAAACAGGGAACTTGAGATCATCAGTGTAATCAAATAAAATTCTCAATAAGAGTAAAACTGCTAAGCAGTGACAGAAACTTGTCTCTAAACATAGCATCACATTTAGAATTCCAAATAAATTAAGAGGTAATTGCAGCAAAAGCCATTGTGGCGAGGCTCTGAAAGTGTGAGTTCAATGGGGCTCTCTTACTGTGTTTGGCATTGTTTAAAGGCCTTCATTGCGCTTACTTATTTACCGTTACAAGTTCAATGGGGCTTACTTATTTACCGTTACATGTTTAGATACCTTAAAGCTTTTAAACTTACAGTTATTTACCTTCACTTGTTTTCAGTATCACTTAAATACACCATAGTATGTACACGTTACATTGTAATACCCTAAAATTGTTACAACTTGCACATATATACCCTCAGCTAAGATGAGGGTATTTAAGTACAAGTTAAAATTTTTAGGATACGTGTGCAAGTTTTAAAAATATTAGGACATTTAAGTGCTCTCTAGGGAATAGAAGTGCTTTAAAAAATAAGTAAGATATATACGTGCAAGTTTTGAAAACTTTACATTATACAAATACAATCTTTAAAAATTTTAAGGTATATAAATGTTACCAAAAATAGGTGAGGGCATATAAGTGCAAACAAGCTGAAACTATAGGGTATATAGTGAAATTATTTGAAGTGATTGACATCGTTTGAAGTGATTTGGGCTTTAACGTTGAAATTATGTTTTCGGAACTGGTCACATCCTTATCGACACGAAAGGTGTGAGAAGAAAGGTCAACAATAAAAAATAAAAACAAAAGCCACATAACTTTAAAAAAGTAAAAACGAAAACCACATAATTTTTGGACCGAAAAATGAAAGCATTCAAATACTGGTGACATGGAATTATGTGTTAGATCTGAATCATAAACTTGAGATCTAAAACCATATAGCCATGATTAATTCGAAGAGATTAACAATAATCAAAAGAGCGGAAGCTTATACCTGAATCCATAGATGAACCTGAGATGGGTTTTGGATCTTCTAACCTTAGGGTTTCTCTATAGCCGAATTTCTCTCTTAGATGGGGGTGAAGAGAATTAGAGAATGTTAACCCTAGGTTAGGGACCATAACCCCTTATTTATAGATGTTGTACTTTTATAATTTGACCCCTCAACAAATCACAATTACAACCTGGTATCTGCACATATAACCCCATGACTTATTTAAATACCCAATTAACCCAAATTAATTGATCACTTTAGTGGGTTATCCTGAAAGATAGCAATACACATTGATTAATCATATGTGCCCACAAATAGATTTATTAGATTAAATCCAACAATCTCCCACTTGGGCACCATATGATTCCTTAAATTGTGTATAACCTTATGAGCTCAAAATTGCTATCACTGAAAAGGTATTTCCGAACAATCTCGTCCATTGACTATATCGATATAGGATCAAAGCGGCATTCGTCACATTTATCGTGACTCGACCCATCAATGGTCACATATACCAATAAAATCAAACGACATAGATCAATCATGGATGTGCAGCATGAAAATTACACGCAATGTGATCAATAAATGTCTATTTTCAACTGGTCCTCCTTAGTGAGGTCAAAACCAAACATAATGTAACAGAGTGTCTTAACTGAATACTTTATTCTGATCAGACAATACAACCAAACAAAAAGCACCACAATTACAAACTCCCACTAAAACATAATATCCTCAAATAATACTACACCCATATGAGCAGTATGCTCATGAAAGACCTTGGGTGGCAATCCCTTAGTAAGAGGATCAGCTATCATGGAGTTTGTCCCAATGTGCTCTATAGATATTTATCCACTCTGTACCCTTTCTTTCACAACCAGGAACTTAATGTCAATATGTTTTGACTTAGTTGAGCTCCTGTTGTTATTGGAATACATTACTGCAGATTTATTGTCACAATATAACCTTAGTGGTCTTTCAATATTTTCCAAAATGCGCAGTCCCGTGACAAGATTTCGCAACCATATTCCATGATTTGATGCTGGAGGAAGCTACTAGTGTCTGTTTGACATTTTTCCATGATATAGCTCCTCCTGCTAACATATAAATATAGCCTGATGTAGACTTTCTGCTATCTTGGCATCCAGCAAAATCAGAATCCGAATACCCAATGACCTCTAACTGTTCTGATTTTCTGTATGTGAGCATGTAACCTTTTGTTTTCTGAAGATACCTCATAACCCTTTTGACTGCTATCCAATGATCCATACCAGGGTTGCTTAAGTATCTGCCTAACATCCCAACAATGTACGCAATATCCGGACGCGTACATACCTGAGCATACATTAGACTTCCTACAGCCGAAGCATAAGGAATCTTCTGCATTTCCTGAATTTCAAGGTTACCTTTAGGGCACTGATTGAGACTAAACTTGTCTCCTTTAGCAACAGGGGTGTCACCTGGTCTGCAATCTTGCATGCCAAACCTTTTAAGTACCTTATCGATATAGCTCTTTTGTGATAATCCAAGAATACCCCGAGAGCGATCTCGATGTATCTGGATCCCTAATATAAAAGAGGCGTCCCCAAGATCTTTCATCTCAAAATTCTTTGATAGAAATCTCTTGGTTTCGTGCAACATGCCTATATCATTAGTGGCAAGCAAGATGTCATCGACATACAGAACCAGAAAAATATACTTACTCCCACTGAACTTGTGATATACACAGTCATCAACAATGTTCATCTCAAAACCGAACGAGATAACTATTTGTTGAAACTTATGATACCATTGACGAGGAGCTTGCTTGAGTCCATAGATGGATTTCCTTAATTTGCAAACCATATTCTTTGGGTCTCCTGACACAAAGTTTTCTGGTTGCACCATATAAATCATCTCATCAATGTCTCCATTGAGAAATGCAGTCTTAACATCCATCTGATGTAACTCAAGATCATAATGAGCAACAAGTGCCATGATTATTCTGAAAGAGTCTTTCGATGAAACCGGAGAGAAAGTCTCTGTATAATCAATGCCTTCCTTTTGAGTATAGCCTTTAGCCACAAGACGCGCCTTATACCTCTCCACATTACCGTTTGCATCCCGCTTGGTTTTAAAAATCCATTTACAACCAATTGGTTTTGCACCTTCTGGCAATGGGACAAGTTCCCAAACCTTATTGTCTTGCATAGACTTATACTCTTCATTCATGGCATCAATCCACTGTTGAGAGTTAGAACTTTTCATGGCCTGAGAGAAGTTGATTGGATCATCTTCTAACATTCCACTACTTTCCTCATGTTCTTGGAGAAATACAATATAATCATCCGGAATAGCATTTCTCCTTTCTCTCGTGGATCTCCTTAATGGCACTGGTTCTTGAGGTTGTTGAGTTTGTTCTTCTGGAACAGGGAGTTGTTCAACATTATCATCTTGAGGTTCCGGATTTACTTCTTGAGCAACAACAGGTATAGGAACCTGAATATTGTCAAAAGTAACTGTATGGATTGGATCTGAAGCCAATTCCTCCTCAAAACTAATGTCTCTAACCTTATTTCTCCCCCCAAACTCAACATCCTCAAAGAATGTTGCTGTTCCCGTCTCAAAAATATTCCTTATAGTGGGATCATAAAACTTATAGCCCCTAGAGCGATCAGGGTACCCAATAAAGTAGCTGCTAACTGTTTTGGAGTCCAATTTCTTTTCATTTGGCCTATAAGGCCTTGCCTCAGCTGGACATCCCCAAATATGTAAATGCTTTAAACTGGGCTTTCGACCAGTCCAAAGCTCATAAGGTGTTTTAGCAACTGCTTTACTTGGTACTCTATTCAGAATGTAAGCTGCTGTCTTAAGTGCTTCTCCCCAGAGTGACTCTGGTAAAGAAGAATGAGCAATCATACTTCTTACCATATCCTTAAGAGTCCTGTTTCGTCTTTCAGCTACACCATTCATGCTAGGTGAACCCGGCATAGTGTACTGTGGGACGATACCGCATTCCTCTAGGTATCTAGCAAATGGTCCTGGACGTTGTTCACCTGAACCATCATATCTACCGTAGTACTCACCACCACGATCAGATCTGACGGTTTTAATTCTTCTGTTGAGTTGATTCTCAACTTCAGCTTTATAGGCT